TTGTAAAATTGATGTATGTATAGGAAAATAAAAGCAAACAGAGCTGGAAAGGAGCTTAAAAAAACGTTTTCCTCCCTTACAGACCAAAAAAACAATTCTCAAGTTCTGCCCAAACTGATCTTCCAAATATCCAGTGAAGAAGATTGTACAAGCAACTTACTCCAGTGCTATTTTTACCACAGTAATTGCTTTCCCTAGTATCTAATTTAAACCTCCCTTACTCCTAAATAACCTTTTTGTTTCTTGATTCTTTGCAAGCATGGAAAACAGTTTCTTTTCCTCTTCTTTGAAGCAGTCCTTCAGGGGACTCACGTGTGCCCTCAGATCTCCCATTTTTGTCATGCTGAGCTTTGAGCAGGAACAGCAATTTGTTAAAATAATGTAAATATCTGTATTTAACATAAGTACATGTATTTAACCTGTTCTGAATCACTGCATGACTATGCACAATAGTTTCATTACTGCAGCTATGAAAACACCATGGTGGGGGTTGGAGGAAACAACCACGGGCTAATACTTAATGTGGCACTGCTGTTTATTCCTACTACAAGTAAGTTTTAGGTTCTTAGGTATTTATTTTAGAGATTTAATTTACTCTGAATCCACTAGGCTTTATAAAATGGACAGAATGGGGATTTGATAGCTTTTAAAAAACTGGGCTTCACGTTCTCCAGAGTCAACAGGCTCTAAATACCCTCGTCCCACAGCTACATTTGACCAGCTTATCACTTGGTGGCTTCTATTAGAAAAAGTGCTAAAAATACAAGTCAGTAGTATTTACAAGCTAAAGGCAATATTTCACAAACCTCTGCTTGTTTTTCCCGCTTCCATGAGAAAGGTTGGATGAAAAAGCCAATGGGATATGTGAAAGAAATACTGCTATGGAAAAAAAATCTTAGTTCTAGGAATTGTAAATTCTTCGTTTTTACCACCGAGGGTTTTTTTGACAATTTAGTAGGCTGGTGTCTGAGGCTGCTTTTTCCAGAAAGACAAATGCTGATCATAATTAAGCTTACAAGATCATTATCTTTGTGTCTACTGTATCATCTATGCATTCCAGCCTTCCATCACCACACCTGACCAATGCAGGACATTTGAAAACTTAAAAAACCCCATAATATGCTCAAATAACATCTGTCAGTCAATCCCGTTAGTTCTTGAAAGCCAGACTCAAACACTCCACTCCAAGATTCCTAAATGGTGCCATTTTACATGGAAATAAGTAGCCTTATTGCTACTTTTCTCTGGAGCCCATGGATACAAATATGACTCTCCTTTGAAGGGTGATGTCAGTTTGCTGTGTATCCATGAAAACCCACTGTCCCTAAAGACTATTCTGAGTGACTTTATTGTAAGATATCCAACAGGAAATTATTTTATCCTTTTGCCACCTAATTCCATGAAGTATAGGACAGAACCAGTTTTTCCTGAGGTAAATGGAGAATTGCTCTTACACAGAAGGAAGGGAGTGAGGAGGTTTGCAACCTGCTGGGCAGCATGTTAGGGAGCACGTGGAACAGCAGGAGATTCCCTATCCAAAATGTCACATCTTCTACCTAGGAAGTGATGAAAACATCAAAGAGTAATATTAAGTTATTAGAAATTATTAATAATGGAAATACTTGGGCGATTAAGAATGGAAATTTGCAAAATTAGCAGCAACATGAACCTAAATTCACTGAAATTGTTAATGAACTTAACGTACAGGTGAGCCCTGTGCGTGCCAGGGATGTCAGGATCAGAACAGGGAGGACAAGTTTGGTGTTTGGCAATCCTGCCCTAATCCAGTGTTTCCAAATGAAATTATCATGTCATGCAGAAATCTCCAAGTAATACCACTGCAGTGCTTGCTCTGCCCGGGAAGTGAACGTTTTCCATCCACGCTCCGACGCGCCGATGAGCAGCCACCAAAAAGGGAGAATTTGAAATTCTAGCAAGAGAGCAGAAGATTTGGTGGTGGGGCAGGGAGTGCTCTGGGAAGCAGTGACGTGAGGGTCCCCATGGCCTCTGTCCCTGATGACCCAGTTCTTATTTGATTTATGTGGGCTCGCAGCTGCCCTCGCTCCGACCCCAGCCAAGGCTGTGTGGGAAGTTCGTGTCTCGGAGCCGTAGGATTGCTCTGCGGAGTGTCTGGAGCCTGGTGTGTGCACACAAACTGATAAATAGGGAAAGGCCTGCATTGCTCCAGCTGGATCAGGGCTGGGATCAGGGCTGGGATCAGAGCTGGGATCAGCGCTGCAGCCCCACGGACTCTCTGGAAGAGAGAAGCTCCCTGGAACCACGGTGAGTATTTAATTTCCTTCTCTGCATGCTCTGGGATTATGAATTGTTGCTCCAGCCACACATCAATTTGCCATGTGAAAAGATTTCGGGCACTGGGTTTTTTTCCTTCTTTTTCCTCCTTTTTTTTTTCCCTTTCTTTTTAAACATCTGACTAAATGAAAACAGAAAACACGAGCTTTTAAATTTGGTATCCTACTGCCAAGGGTTTGTTCCAACAGTACTTCATTTGACATAGAGAGGGAAGAAAAACGACTTTTAAATTAAATTATTTGTTTCCCTTCCCAAAAGTACCTGGAAATCCGTGAGTTTCAAACAACCACTTATTTTACAGTGTATAAAAATTTTACCTTTGAAATAATTATTCATGAGGGTAACAATTTCAAAGGAAGATTTCAAGCTAATTGCAACACAATCCGTTAGTGAAATAAGCCAACTCTTATTATGATTGTTGTATGACCAAGAGGGAACACATTTAAGGAGAAGAAGAGTGGGATTTCTTCAAAGGGTAGCTTTGGGGAGCTTCTTGGCACATTAAAACTGGGAGGAAGAGATAAAACCTTAATAATGCATATAATCTGCACATAGGGACAATCAAGTGATCCTACAGCTTCCCCTGCGAAATCATCCTTTAATTAATCAAGTGATTACTAAATTGCTTGAGTGAAATGGAATATATCACCTGGCATCACACATAGTTGCCACTGATCGTACTGAGCTAACATTTTTTTCAGTTTTTGGTTGAAATTTTCACAAACAATAGAAAAAATAAGCTTTGCTTCCAGCAGCAAGCAAAGTGCAGCGATTAACAGTGAGCCTGAGACGTGCTCTCGAGTTCCACTACGTGACCATTAACGTGCCCCAAGGTGTGTTCAAATAGTTGGTGAAGACCTTCAGCTTGAGCTCCTAAAATTCCCAGTAAACAAGAAATTTCTCCACGACTCCATTGTCAAAATATTTACGAAAGCAGCTGAAGTAGTGGCAGTACAGAGCCCTGCAAGGGCTCCCTGTGCCTCTGCTACGTGAAGGATGTTTTGCATCTTAATAAATTTGAGAAGTTGATGATATGTTACTTTATGATGCGGGATTTTATAGCAATAAAAATGATGAAAACCACATCTTTCACCATAAATAGCAGTAAATAGATGAACAGTACAGATTCTAGTCTGAATGTGAACATTCTATTTATGGTTCTGCTTCGCTTTTATCAATCAATGGCTTTTTTTTCCTTCATGGTTTCCATCTTTTATAAATTGACAAGTTTTTCAGCTGGGACTAAGAACTGAACCTGGCTGAATTTTTATATAAAATGGATAACCAACCCCTTGAATTGACACACATTCTGGGTTATATTGAACATTTTTGATCACTGGCAAAACTAAGCCCGTAAAAGGGCAACATTTTCAAACGTGCTTAAACAACCCCAAGTGTAGGTCACCTGTTCTAAAAAAACACCATTGCCCACCTGGTCAGGATTTCACACATGAAAATTCCCAGCAGAAGAGAGAAAATCAAAGAACAGTGTGTGCCTTTCCACAGATGACATTTTCTTTCAGGCCAGTCTGTGTGACTGAGGACTGAAGAGCCCCATCCTATCTGTGTCGGGGTTCTGCGAAACAAGGGATTAAAAAATTCATCTTCTTTTGTTTTCAGCTATTTCCACTTTTTAGGCTAAAGACCTTTAAGTGCCATCTCTGGGAACATACTTAAATTTTTGCTTCCTTTTAAAGCACTCACGTGCAAAGATCTGGTTATATTGTGAATACACGGAAATGGGAAAAATGGGCACAAAACATTTTGGTTTGGGAATGGCACAACTGTAACTGCCCCAAACACCCAAACCTGTTACTGCAACCTTGTTTCAGCTTTATCCAAGTTACTGTGTTTTGAAAATTACCACTGGGCATGTCTGGTACGTTCTGCCAGGGACTCCACATGCGTTGGGCACAGGCAGAATTCCCTTGCCAGCCTGGCAAAGGCTTAATGAGCATCTGTGTGGGCTCAGGAAGTGTCCCTTAGGTCATGGCTCACTCCCAGGAGGTGTGAGGGATTTGGGGTGGCTACTGAGCTCTGGGGAGAGCAGCATATAATGGATCTCAGTTTGGAGGAGGCTTCCCCTCTGCTGCCTCACTCACATACCAGGGGTGAGCAAAGGTTGGAACACACAACGATCACAGTCATTCTTATAAACAATCCAAACTTTCCTGTCCTGGGAAATGAAGTTCCTTCCTTATATATCTTACTCCGTTCTTTCTAGTTTTATTTTTTTAAAAAGCCCAGTGCTTTGTTATATCAGGAGAACAAGCTTGCCAACCCTAAACTGTCAAATGTCAGAAAATTAAACACTTCATGGTCATGCATAAATCTTGTTTCACAACAGTATAGCATTCCCAAATAAGCACTGGATTTCAAATTAATAATCAATTAATTAGAACATTCTCTTAATTTCAGTTTACAAAGTCTCATTCTGAGCTGGGAATTTTGTGGTTGCAACCAATCACTGTTATTAGTCATAAAAATCTGTTAAGAAGGGCTAAATCCTTTCTCACACAGTACCTGATTTGAGGAAACTTTGCCTAAGGAAAATTTGCTTCCAAGATTTAGAACGTTTAATCAACTGACCACTTTACATTTGGCAATATGTACCTCATACTCCCAATATACTCTTTTTATCCCACTGGATCAGTGGGATTTTATTTTAGCTTCCGTTCCTTTTCTATTTCATTTAAAGAAACTACAGGAATTCAGAAATGCATTTCTTTGGCAAATACACATTTTTGGGAAAAAATGTAGACTTTGCCCTGGCCAAATTGATCTAACTGATAAGGACCTCACGATTCAGTGAGTCATTCTGCTCTGAAACAAATATTTACTAGCAGAGATAACAAAAAACCCCAACATTCCAGCCTCACCGCATCCTTTCACCTTCTGCTGACAACACAAAGCGAAAGTGTTCAGCCCCAAAGATTTTCCAGTTTGGGGGAAGGGATGTGTGTCTTTCCAGGCAGGACTTCAGGTTCCCTGGAATGATACATTCATTTTCTCAGTCACAGCAAGGTACAGGTATTACCCAAACCCCACCGTGTGAGTCTTTCCAGGAAGACCTTTAAACCCAAATTGCTGTAAATGCTGCAAGAGGCACAGACAGAGAATGCTGTTGCAGGGGAGGCTTTTGCTTTGCTGTATTTTCCAAATACTTCCACGCCTTTTTCATCTCTTCTGTCCTTTTCTGTCTGCTCAGGCAAAGCCTGTGAGTGGTTGATGGGCAAATTGTCTCCCACAGCCCTTACTCAATGGGCACAGACTTAACATTTGTTTAACCAGTGACCACATTCCACATGCAGAGGGACAAGGGGGCAAGGAAAACATTTCCTACTTACTCCTCTAGTGGCTGCTCCATTACCTCTCAATAGTTCAGCAATACCAGAGGTTTGCTCTGTGAATGTAAACCCAAACCCAGCTCCTGCTAGTGTCCATAGGGACATTACATTTTTTTTTCTAAAACTCTTGTAAGAATTTTTAGAGCACCCTTTTCCACAACTTCTTTCTCAATTTGAATTTATAATTCAAATTACTGAAAAATAAGGTAAGTTTTGAAGCACAGCAGCTGTTCTCAGTGTGTCACTGTGAGCTCTCAGTACACCTTGTTATTGTGAATGTCAGTGCATCCAGCCAGGAGCCCAAGCTCCCTTAGTGTTCAAGGGACAGTGGGAAGCTCTCTCGAGGAAATAAATCCTATAGGATATTAATTTATTTTGTTTTCACAGGATGCTTTGCACTCTTAAAGGAATACAGGCTCTTAAATGTAAATCAGGCAGTGCTCAAGCAAGGCAAAGCTGACTTTTACTGCATAAACAATTACTTACATGGGGAGAAGAGAGATTCCATGCTGGCCTTTCCATGCTATTTTCCTATATTTACTTGCTTCAGATCTGCATAAAGAGTGAAAGAAACAAATTCACTAAAAGCCCATCTCTGTGCACAAACAGGACACCCACCACATCCACACCAGTGCAAATGCCCCAGCTCATGCCCAAAGCAAGTTTTTTCTATCCAGTGAAACTCCTTTTAATCTTCCTAGAACTAGAGAATTTACCAGGGATTAATTTGATTCCCCCACCATGGTTTTGTGTAAAATTCAGAGCAAAACAGTTCTACTATAACTTGGAAATTTAGGAATGGACTCTATCCTGAACCTGTACTGTGAGGACAGTCAAACATTCTGTAGCCTCACTGAAGGTATTACATGACTTTGTACCTCTGATTTTCTTATGATCTGCAAACTCTCCCATATTGTGGAGTTTTCTGGGTTTAGCTCCCTGCCTAAACCTACCCAGCAATTCTTTCTCACAGGATGTTTCTCCTGCTTTCCCATTTCTCCAGGTTGCCATTTAAAAGCCACCCCCCAGCAGGGGGAATGAAGCAGTGCAGCTGGGAGCAGAGCATGGCCAACACGTTTGTCACCGTCCCCGACGGGTACTGTCTCCCCGAGCCCATCCAGTACTATGGTGAGTAAAGCAACAGCTTTACATCCGGAAAATACAGTAAAATGAACATCTGTGGCAATTCCCATTTTTTTCTCTGTTTTAGTTTATCTTTAAAGCTCTTAGAAGCTACGCATTTGACTGCCAAGCCTACACTGAAAGTATTGAAATACTGTGATTATTCCGACTGATCATTCCATATAAACATTCCTGGTGCTGTCTCCCTTTGACTTGCATGGAGCAGACACAGCTTTTATTACAGTACTCCAGATAATTATAAATAGATAATGCATATTCTATATGTTATGTAACTATAATTGCAATAACTGATTGGATTCTGGAAGAGTAAAGGCAGGACCTGATGCCCATTAGAAAGAAAAAGAACTCTGAATTGCCTTGAAAATGGTTTCCAGTTTGGTTTTTCAGAGATTTGAACAATCCCAAAGGAAGGAGGAAACATGATTCATGTTGCACAGGCTTGCTTTGGTACAGTTGTGTGTATTTAGGGGGAGCTGGATAAAATTAAAACTCAACAGACAGAAGGGCAGGAAGAAACTCTCTTTACAATTCTGTACCTACATTTTACTAAAATGAAATCTCATTTCATATGTGGGGAAATACTAAATAAAACAAGATCTGCTTTTTATTCTGTTGACTTCAACTTTAAGACTCCTGTCACAGTACTTTTTACCACTCTATAATTTCTAGACCATCTTTCTCAGACTCTTGTGCAACATTTTCAAAATGGTGCCTGAGATATGTATTGATAACTAAAATTTCACTCCTTAAAAAATTCACTTACGGAAGATACTTGACTGTAATGTGGACAACAAACAACTCTCAGATGTAAGACCTAAAAGCAGCTGTATCATCAGTTGGCAAGTGATATTCAGTTATGTGCCAACAATAATCCAGTAGCATCCACATGACATTGTCCAAACCATTACTGAGCCATTTTTACCACACTTAAGATTTTACTTAAGAACATTACAGGCAGCACATTTAAAAACAGTGTGTCAGTCTGCCCGTCTGAAAATATCATTTATGATATTAAATCTATGAATTTTTTTAAAACTTTGGAATAGCTGATGTCGAGATATTCTCCAGGCTTTTATCTCGCTTTCGGTTTCCCCTGTTTTCAGACGTTCTACCGGAGCACATCAACTACCAGCTGCCAGACACGGATTTCCAGAGTGCCCCTTACTGCCAGTACTCAGCAGTGCCAGTTCCTGCCCCGGCACTGCAGTCCCAGCCCCCTCTGTCCCCATATGGCACATACGGCCTGGACCCTCCCTACAGCGACGGGCCCTGCGTCGGCAGCAGCTGCGAGCTGAGCAAAGCCCCGTTCGTGGCTCCCCCCGGGGATGACGGGGGGTACCAGGGGTTAAAGAGGCCGAGGCTGCCCCACCCGGTGAGGCTGAGGGGGCAGGAGGAGCTGTGTGTCGTGTGTGGGGACAAGGCCTCTGGGTACCACTACAACGCCCTGACCTGCGAGGGCTGCAAAGGTGAGCACCTGAGCCAGGACTGGCCCCGCAGCGTCCCACACCTGTGATTTATGCAAACAGGTTTTGTTGGGGTTTAAGCTGTTTCTACAGAGGGTTTTAATTTATCTAAGGAGCCCCTTATCTAACACACTTACTCCCGGATTCACATTTTTACAGCATTTTTTGAAGAAATGCTTTCAGTCTGTATTTAATATGAGCACCTCAAGAATCTCATTTTTGCACAGATGACTCAATAGAATAGTCTCTGTTTAAGCAGGTACTGATTTTCACATGACCATTTATTATAGATTTTCTTGAGTGTTATTACTTATTATTAAAATTAAATAAAAGCAAGTAGTAATGACTTACTAATTATATTTAACTTGTTATATTGAAGGGGAGGCAGAGGGGCAGCTCCAACCTCTGCTCTCTGTGAGCAGTGACAGGACCTGAGGGAACAGCTGGAGCTGTGTCAGGGAGGTTCAGGTTGGATCTCAGGAAAAGGTTCTTCCCCCAGAGGGTGGTCGGGCACTGAACAGGCTCCCCAGGGCCCAAAGGCTGCCAGAGCTCAAGGAGTGTTTGGACAATGCTCTCATGCACAGGGTGAGATTTTTGGGGTGCAGGAACAGGAGTTGGACTTGCAATTTGTGTGTTCCTTTCAACTCAGGATATTCTGTGATTCTATGACTCCATGTACGGAAAACAGCATTTAATATCAGTCAGAAAGAACCAGACATAACTATGTTGTTAAAAAGTAAATTTAAAATCAAGGTCATGTTTCCATTTAAAACCCCCAACCAACCAAACCTGAAAGACACTTTTAATTCCTTAAATTACTGTGAGGTGAAGCTCCTTAGGTTGCTGGAGCCATGACCTGACCCTTGTGTGCAGGGTTCTTCCGCCGCAGCATAACCAAGAACGCGGTGTACCGGTGCAAGAACGGGGGGCACTGTGAGATGGACATGTACATGAGGAGGAAGTGCCAGGAGTGTCGCCTGAAGAAGTGCAAAGCTGTGGGAATGCTGGCAGAATGTAAGTGCTCCTTCCATGCTGCCTACTTCACTAATCAACCTGGATAAAGCCTTTTCCAAAGGAAATCCCTTCTCATTAGAGCTAAATGCTATCAGTCTAAGCTTCATTTGGCTGTAGGAAAATTATCTTTGGAGTCTGCAGCACCTGTAGCATCTTCATGTGCAGGAACAAGCAATGCTTGGGAAGTATCTCCCTAAGCTAAGAGGACTCCTGTTCAAAGACATTACAAGAAAAAAAAAGGAAGTACTGAGAAGAGAAGCTAAATATCCTGAGCCCTGTCAGGACAGCAGTGAGCAGATCAAAGGTGCTTCAGTGTTTGGGGAAAAAAATTAAATAAAAACGGCATGATGGTCTTTGATGAAAAATTCTGATGCCTGTATGTCACAGAGTCACAAGAAAGGAGGAGACTGGAAAACCTGAGGCCTTTGGTGGGTACTGAACATGAACTCACCTGACAAACCACACATTGCCATATCCTCTAGCGTGTAGTTCCTTACAGGTGATGGCTCCCGTGCTGCAAGACTCGAGTCATCTCTAAAAAAAAAGATGATTTCAAATTGTAATTAATTCAAAATACACATATTGATGCCCACTTCCATGCCTTGCAGGTTTGCTGACTGAAGTCCAGTGCAAGTCAAAGCGACTCAGGAAGAATTTCAAGCAGAAGAGCAGTTTCCTTTGCAACATAAAGCTGGAAGATGAGGGACTGAACAGTAAGCATGTATCATCTACAACAAGATCTGGAAAAGTGGGATATTCTTCTATTTAAAATACCTCTTTTTATCATTTATTTTTACCCCAAGTCATTGTCACCTGATCGGTTTATTTTTTTAACAGATCCCAGAGAAGATGGAACTTACCCCAGGGGAACACCAGCTTCTCGACCACATTGTAGCAGCACACCAAAAATACACAATTCCCCTCGAGGAAGCCAAGAAGTTTGTAGGTATCCAGCACACTCAGCCTGCACTGGTGAGTTATTGTTGTCCCCAGCACTGTGCCTTGGTTATATCCCATGTCCAAACGCTCTTTCATGCAGCTGCAAGAAACTGCGAGCGCTGAGGAGAGTTTTCTGCGGCTCTCTGAGACAGCCGTCGTCCACGTCCAAGTGCTGGTGGATTTCACAAAGAGACTTCCAGGTAAGTTCCTTCCTTTGGGAAATATTACCGAAACCATACTGATGGCACGAATCCCAGAAAAATACAGGCTTTAAGAGAAAAAACACTTTCAACTGATTATTTTTTATTTCCAACTTAGCATTTACTTGCCGTGAGGACAAACTTAGAAGCTTTCACTTCAAAACTTTGCTATGATTGGGTTTCTTTTCCATTTCTGACATGGAGTAGAGACATTTTCTGGAAGCACCATCTTGAGTGCTTCTCTGAAATCCAGTTGAGTTTTGCACTATATCATAACCATCAAAATAAAAAACAGATGTTCCTTCAAAGGAAAAGGCAGCGCAGAAGGGACTGACCAGGTGCTCCTATTCATATTTTCCTTCAATAAGGCACAAGGGAACATGCAATTAAATCCACTGCATTTCAATGTAAATTTGGCCAAATGACATTTGACAGGGAGGGTGATAATTTTTTCTTTGTAAAACTTCCTGACAAAGGTCAATCACCATGTCTAAAGCAGGTATTTGATGCAATTTAGCACCACTGTGAGAAAGAGCTGAAGGAATGGGGTGAGCTCTTTGTTTTCTTGGTGTTACATTTCCTGCTTTGATCAGGATCAAGAAGAAATTTCTGAAGGTCCTTTGCTCTTGAATGATAAGTGCAGATAATGAGCTTGTCAAAGGATGAACACAAATTTTAAGAAGATAATAATATATCAGTGAATAAGGGGAATATACACTAAGCAATGTAGCAATTTTATCAGGTACTCGGCCATGTGATACATGCCAGAAATAAGGAAGAAATTTTTTATAAAGTCTTGCTTAGTCCCAAAATTTTCACTTGTATCTTCCAGTGAATCTTCTAAAACTGGACACTAAAACCACCTCCTCCTTTTTTTTTTCTTTTTAATTGTCTAACCTGCAAACAAGCAAGAAAGATCACAACAGTCCTTGGTACATACATCACTTAACTAAGGCTCCTCCTTTCCAGTAAAGGCATTTATTATTAAAAAAATCATTTTATCACCTCGTGTTAGGGGCTTAAAGGCAGCCCAGCCTTCCTTGATTCTGATCATGTCCCTTTCTCTGCAGGATTTGAAAGTTTAGCCAGTGAGGACCAGATTGCACTGCTGAAAGGGTCAACAGTTGAGGCAATGTTCCTGCTGTCAGCCCAAATATACAACCAGAGAATGAGCCAGTGCCAACCATCAACAAGTGAGAGTAAGTTTGACTAACGAGCTTTCTACTCACACCAGTAGGAGGTTCTGCCATTTAAAAAAAACTTCCATTCGTTTTAATTCACTTAATCTCAAATAATTACCTACCCAAGCAGAGTGGTACTTAGAATAGTATCATTAATGACAACATACCTTCTAAAGGCTTTTTATTCAAGGCACGCAATTTATTTTTTTTAATAACTAAATAAATAGATTTCTGGTTTCCTCCCATTAGTTCTAAACAAAAAGCAACATTTTTGAGTGTTTGCATAAATTGTGGGGTGGATGGCTAATATTAGCTATGTTAATGACTAATTATATATCGTGTCAAGTTTAACACAAGAGGCTTTGACCAACAATGATGCAAATGAGCATTTTTTTTTATACCTACATGGATCTGGGAAAAATTCCCACATTTTCAGCTATATACCTTCAAAGCAGGTACAGACAAATATTTAAAGTCAGTTTAAGCTTGGCTGGAGACTGTCATCTGTCTTGTTCCAGGTCATGCAAGACTTTCTGATCATGGGACATGTTGTCACGTTCAAAGCCTTGATAAAAACAACATTTATTCCATGGAAATGTCTCACAATGAAGAGAGTCCAACTTCCACTACTACCACAGGTAAGGGAAGTAGAATCTAAATACTGGGAATCTTTTGCTTTGCTGGCCCTCTTCTTAATCACACCGAGCAACACTGTCCCTGTGGCCCCTGGGCTCCCTCTTCCTTGAGCTGCTCTGGGCACACACACAGGCATTAAATCCTCCTAGGAAGAGGTGCTGCTCATGTTTGATCATATCCTAGGATAAAGCCTTGAGCTATATATAAATCCAAAGCTCCACAGTACAACCTTAACACAACTTCTGTTACTGGATTAGAAATGAACACTGTTTTCCTGAAGTTTGTTAACTATTTCCCTTAAAAGATTCACTGAATCACAGGATGGCTCAGGTTGGAGGGTGCAACAATGGGTCATCTGGTCCCACCTCCCTGCTCAAGCAGGGTCATCCCAGAGCACATGGCACAGGGTTGTGTCCAGACAGTTCTGGGATATCCACAGTGAGGGAGACTCCACAACCTCTCTGGACAATCTGTTCCCACACAGTGATGGAGTCCCTTCCCCATGTTCAGGTGGAACTTCCTGGGCATTAGTTTCTGCCCATTGCCTCTTATCCCATTGCTGGGCATCCCTGAGCAGAGCCTGGTCCACCCTCTGACCCCTCCCTGCAGACACTGACAGGCAGGGATGAGGTCCCCTCTTAGCCACCTCATCTTGAGGCTGAACAGCCCCAGCTCCCTTCAGCCTTTTTTAAAGTCATGGAATCATTTAGGTCGGAAAAGACCTCTAAGATCATCAAATCCAGAATTTACCATGAAAATAAATGAGAGATGCTCCAGCCTCCTCATCACCTTCACGTTCTCTGCTGGACCTGCTCCAGGAGCTCCATGTCCCTTGTCCTGGGGAGCCCAGCACTGGACAGAGCGATCCAGGTGGATCCAGGGGGGTATCATCTCCCATGCTTCAGGCAAAGATGATTTGCAACTGTTTCTGCACTGAAATAATACCATGATTACTTTGTTTTGGTTTTTATTCAAAAAAATTTTTATTAAAATATTTTTATTTTATTTGTTTGTTTGGGTTTTTTTCCCCCCATCCTTAAGGCTTAACGGAGGAGTTCATCACCGCCCTGTTCTACTTCTACAGAAGCATGGGGGAACTCAAAGTCACCGAGACCGAGTACGCCCTGCTCGTAGCAACCACCGTGTTCTTTTCAGGTAGGCTGGGAAGGTGACAACAAGCTGTCACCTGCCCCCTCAGGGGAGCTGCCACTTCCCCCTCAGTGAAGCCGTCCCTTATCCCGGGGGAAACTGTCACCTTCCCCTCATGGGAGCCGCCACTTGACCCCTCAGGGGAGCTGCCACTTACCCGGGGGAAACTGTCACTTGCTCAGGGGAGCTGCCATTGCCCCCTCAGGGGAGCTGCCATTGCCCCGCCATGGGAGGTGCCACTCCCCCCTCAGAGGAGCTGTCACTTATCCCGAGGGAACTGTCACTTTCCCCTCATGGGAGCCACCACTTGCCCCCTCAGGGGAGCTGTCATTGCCCCCTCAGGGGAGCTGTCATTGCCCCCTCAGGGGAGCTGTCATTGCCCCCTCAGAGGAGCTGTCACTGCCCCCTCAGGGGAGGTGCCACTTGCCCCCTCAGGGGAGCTGTCATTCCTCCCTCAGGGGAGCTGTCATTCCTCCCTCAGGGGAGCTGTCATTGCCCCCTCAGGGGAGGAGCCACTTGCCCCCTCAGGGGCGGCGGCGCCGCCTCGCCCCCTCCCTCTCACCGCGCTCTCCCCGCCGCTCTCCCGCAGACCGCCCGCTCCTGAGGGACAAGCGCCACGTGGAGGAGCTGCAGGAGCCGCTGCTGTGGATCCTGTACAAGCACTCGAAGCTGCAGCACCCGGGGGACCCGCAGCGCTTCGCGCGGCTCCTGGGGCGCCTCACGGAGCTGCGCTCGCTCCGCCACGCCCACGCGGGGGCGCTGCGCGCGCGGGACCCGCGCCTGGCCGCGCCCCTGCGCGACCTCTGGGACCTCCACTAGGCGGCGCCAACACCCGCCGGGGGGGCTGCGCTGCCCTGGGGGGTCCGCGCGCGCCGCTGCCCGCCCTTCCCGCCCTTCCCGCCCGCCCTGAGGGGCCCGCGGCGCTGCCGGGGCCGGACTCCGGGTCCCTGGGGGTACAAAACCCGTTTAAATTGCCCTGAGCGCCGAGCAGGTGCCCGCGGTCAAGCCCCAGGCGAGCGCTCGGCTCCCCCGGGGATGTGTCAGGTGAATGGCGCGACCGCCCGGCTCGGGCGGGGCTGCTCTGGAGGAGCGGGGGGGCGAGGGGGCCTGTCCAGTGGGACACGGGGACAGAGCCCCGAACCAACCGCACACGGTGTCCTATCCCTGGAAGTGTCCAAGGACAGGCTGGACGGGGCTCAGAGCAACCTGGGATCGTGGAAGGTGTCCCTGCCCGTGGCAGGAACTGGATGATCTTCAAGGTCCCTTCCAACCCAACCCATTCTGGGATTCTACGTTGGCGTGGAAGCCCCTGCTCTGAGCTCGTTTCACTGCACTCTGCTAAGATTGGTGCTGGGGGGAACACCTTCCGTTTTAATTTCAAAGACTTCTGTTATTCTCCATCAAAACTGAAGGGAATCGTCTTCTTGAGCATCTGCTGTGTGTTGTGACTGTACATCACCAGTGACAGATCCACACTGGATGTAATTCAGCACAGCGAGCAGTGTCCCAGTTGGCTGGGGATGTCCTGTCCCACACTGGCGTCGATGTCCTGCTCTCTCACCAGCTCAAATGTGCTGTGAAAACATTCTGTCATCACACCGAGTTATGGGAATTCAACAAGTTATTTTTTAACTTCGAGGCTCCTTGTGAAACGTGTTTGGATTCATATGTGATATTCTGGCAGGAGATGAGTTACGCTATTTACAAGATGAACTGTCGTGACTTAAAAACCTTGTGAAATGACATTTTCATGCTAAAACATAATCGGATGTAGTTTAGAACTACCCATGGGAGTAAAGAAAAAAAAAATCAACAACTGGACTTTAAAGAAGTAATTTTGCTTTCTGAGTCCTTTACCATGCACCTGTGCACAAATAGACAACAGCTGATGAGTTCTTGGCATCAAAAGCTTCCACTTTGGTCACTATAAAGGAAACCACAAAAACTCAAGAGTTTGATAACCCACTGTGAAGTAAGAAGCAAATAAGAGAGTTCCAAAACCATTGCCAATGCCTTGGGCTTTGAAAATTTTAAGCAGTTGATTTATTAATAAAAAATGCTATTTTCACATTAGCTGTACTTTTTTTTTTCCTTCTGGATTTTATAATCCTTCTTTACCAATCTACCATAAAGTAATTTGTGCAGAGGTTTAACAAATTCCCAGATGGTGATTTTAATTTGCCACTAGGTAGCCCAAACTGTGGTGAATTCACTGATTCAGGTAAGACTAAAATAAACAATTACCTTGCACATTCCGTAATTTTTTTTAATATTTTGACAACTTGAGAAAGCTCACATTTTTTATCTTACTTAAGCAGGAAGAATGTAATCAGAATTTGAAACTCCAGGACAGGGTAAGCACTTGCAGGCACTTCCAGGGACATGTAGCTGTCCCTTGACACTACTGAGAGTCATTTTCCAGTGGTGTTTACAAATCTGTGTTGTATAAAGCTTCAGGTGCAAAATAGAATGTGGAAAATAAGAACAAATCTGAAGAAATTAGGACTCACCCAGGAGTGACAAAGCACAGATAACAGTGTTATTCCTACAACCTTTTTTTGCCCCTGAATTATCAAAGTATTTAATTTGGTTTGCCTTGCTTCTAACCAGGAGTATCTTGGAGGGGAAACGTTCCTGAGGGGAAACAGCCTTCCCTATCCCTTCCTTACAGCCATTTTAATTTTTAGTTGGAATCTGAGAGTGGCCTTGGGCTGTCACACCTGGGGCAGACTTTTACCTTCAGCGTTCTTATGATCCTGGGTTGGTATCATCATTCCTCACTGATAATACTGCAGAGGGCTTCTGGCTTGTCTTTGGTGGTGGTGGTGTGTTGGTTGGTTGGGTTTTTTTGTTTTAATTTTGCCCTCAGCATAGCGATTGTGTATCTCAGACTAACAAATATCCAGCACTTTCCAAAGAAATGAAACTGAATCCAAAGAGCTCTATCGTCCGAGCCAAACAGCAAATAGGATTAGGGAGTATTTTCAGACCATAAATGGAGATTGCTGGCATATGATATGCAACAAAGAGATTTGCTGTTTTAATCTGTGGTTGATAGGAAATGCTGCAGCTAATCCTAGGAAAGGAAGAGAAGAGCAGTCGTCTGTGAATCTATAAATTTCAGAGATGGGAGCTGTGTTTTAGGCTGTTACAGAGACTTGAAACAGCCAGATTAGCTTTGAAAATTCAGCAGCCACGGGCTGTTTAAATGCAAAATCTGGCAAAAACACTTGTTTCTATGGCAGTGTATCAGGATTGTGTTTCCTTTTATCAGTGGAGGGCTGCAGCAGGACGGGGTTGGAAATAATTCCTCTACCAGAATACTCATATTTCAGAAATCTGATTGGTTTTGTCTGGTTTCCATCATCAGAGCTTCCAATTCTCAGTCGTTTGCAAGTTTGGACATGTTTTTGTTTTACCATCCACAGTTCTATATGTCGTGGAAACAAGAGTGACCCTGCTGTCATGAGAAGCCTGCTCATGAGACCACGAAGTTTTCATGGTGTTGTGCTACTACCAGGGGCAGAGTGAGTAGGAATAATGTGTGATAACTTCTCCTTGTTCCTACTTTTATCTTAGGCATTGGTCAGTGACCAATAGGGAATCCTATTAAATTGCTGTCACATACGAGCTTCTGGTATGCACTGAATTTCTGTAGCCCATTACAGAGACTCCTGGGGAATGAACCCAGGATTTTTGTAATTACTAAATTCCATTTACAGGTATCACTTGAAACACTTCCTGTAGAACATCAACACACCATCTTTCACTTAATGAAAGTGTAAAACCCCTGATGTCAGTGAATGGATTGATTTAGCAAAGAGAAAGGTTAAAGATAAATAATTAACAGTGTGACTGGCTGTTCCAGAACAGGGCTGCAAAGCTGATGGCTATAAAAACACATCAAAAATTTCTATCACTGACTGTCTGCAGGTCAGCGGGAGGGCAACGGAAGAAACGGATCCATAAGCATCAGACTTGTAATGATGGATTTTGGGAAACTGTATGGAAGAAGCCTCGGGTTGTGACACTGGATTTGCTTGTCCTGCCAGTCTTTAGTCTGTAGGTTGTGGGATCTCACTCCCATCAAGTGTTCAGAGAGGTCAGGAGTGGATGAGCTCCATGGTCACAGCCAGGATGATCCAGGAGGTTTTTTGACAGCTGAATAGTTTGTGTAGATCACTGAAGGTGTGTGAATGTCACCCTGGTGCTCTCCTGTGCCTCTCTGTCAGATGGGCAGGATAATGTGGTGCCAGCAAGGACGAGGCAGTGCCAGGAGATTCTGTGCCCATATGAGCGTGGAGCTGAGCTGAGTGTGAGGAGCAGCACTCACAGTAGTCCCAAGGTCCACTCAGACTAATTTATTGCCCTTCCAGATAAATGAATTTTCACTCTTTTGGTCAGGTGTTTCTGTAGTGCACTGAGGTGGGTTCAGAGACTGGGTAAAAGCATTGCAGGGAATAAAGGCACTGCTGGGATTACACTGCTCCAGGGGCTGATAATTCCCAACATTCAGCATCCACCACTCTGGGTTCTGCCTGACACCTCTAAACCTTCCTCTGGACAGATGGAACCAAGGGCATTGCATCTCTGTAATTGCCTTAACAACCAAATTTGTAATCACTGCAAAGAATGAAATTGGGTTTGTGTGGCATGACCTATTTTATGTAACATCATCTTGACGGTCATTAAATATGTTTTCATCTGTTAATTCTTTATTGCTCAAATCCTGTATCAGCTTTCTGTTATTTTACCTGGCTGGTGGAGAGTTACCTGGGTCAACACTCTCCCCTTAAACATTGCCATAATATTAGCACTTTTTAAAAATGTTTTGGTATTTCCTCAGTACTCCAGACCTGTTGAAATCAGCATTAGGCAGCTAATCATGTTGAGTTTAAAATATTTATCCCTTATATGATTTATTTCCTAATCTTTGTTACAATCTTTGAGATGGTTGTTCAGCCACTGTGTTTTCAAATGCACAAGTACTTTCTGAAGCTTTTGCATTTACTCTGCATCAACAGCTTGTCTTCATCTCGTAATGTCTCTTGACTTTACTGTTGGCCTCTGGCCTGGCAGAAGTTGATTTCCTACTCTCCAACTTCCTGTGCAAGTTTTCTACATTTTCTCACTTCCAGCAGTGATTGTTGTTGGTTTTCCTCTTTTTTCTTGCTATGGTTTTTATTGTTGCACTCTCTTTTTCATCTTCACTATGGTAGACTTTCAAGCACTGTTCTGATTTGCTGCTGATGTTTGCAGACATTTCCCTAAATCTTGTTAAAGCAAATTCTTAAACCCTTTTTACCCTAATCTCAATCCTCCCCTCCTTACACCTATTTTTCTCAAATCTGAGAAACTAGCACTTTGAGGAAGCAAAGAATATATGTCTTCACACTCTGACCTGTTCTCTGCCTCTCTTCTTGTTGGGTGTGTTGAGACACTTCAAACCCAGGTGTGGGGGTCTCCCTGTCAGGTCCAGGGTACACAAATCCAGCCCCAACTGCCTAAAGCTGTGAACTCTTCAGAGGAGAGAATCAGCTGTGCATGCAAGGGTCACATGTGATACCCTGGCTTTAAGAATGCTACTTTTTAATTCTTACTTTGAGCACTTTTTGTCCTCTCTAGGATTTAATTTTATGAAATGCTTCCCATTCCTTTCGGATTCTTTGTCTCTGTTGAAATGCTCTTTAGATTTCCCAAGAACAAACAGTCTTTTCTGTGATTAAAGCTTCAAACAACCAAACCCATGCACATACATGTAGTGTGTATATACATATACATATATATATATACACATATACATACATATATATATATATATAATCTTTGTTTGGGTTATGTATGTATATAATCAAGGAGCCTGAGTGTTTGTATCTAAAATATGTGAGAAAAACACAGAGCTAAATAAGGTGCTGGAGTAGTAGCAAAGTAAGTCTCCTGTTGCTAAGTGAGGTGGACAGATGTTTCTGAGAGTACAATTAATACTCTGCTCATGTCCCTAAGCCAGAAAGAGTTATATTTAATTCCTGAGAAATTATACAGTAGAAATTAACCCAGAGTTAAAGATTCTATGAAACAAAAAGCATTTGGGTAGTGTTAATGGAGCAAGAACTCTATTATATTATCCCAAAAAATCCTTGGAAAATTAGCCCAGGACACAGAGCTGTGTGCAGCAGTCTGAAACCATAGAGAAAGGAGACAATATTACTCAGGAACTGGCTAAACACCAGCTGGGATGGACTGGATCACTCCCCCAACAGCCCAAAGGGACCACGTTTACCAGCCCAGACTCACGTTTTTCCTATTTCTTATGGCCACATAAATCAGGAATGTGGTTGACTTGCATAAGACATCCCTCAGATCAAATTCCAAACAGCAGTTGGGTGATTACCTGGAAGGGTGAGTGTTCCCAGAACGGCAGACAGGGAGCATGGGGAGAGGCTGACAGGGAACAGCAGCTTTGTTGAATCCATCCTGCTCTCGCTCCTCCCAGGTGATACACAAAGCCCTAAATGTGAGTGTTTTCCCCTGTCTGGGGACATCTCTTTCTTTGGTGTTGGTGCAATATTTTGTTTCTCATTGTGCTGTGAGGTGTGGTTTTGTAAAGGTTTTTACCTACCAATTAGGATTTAATTGCTTGTTGCTTCAATATTTGCTCAGTAGGTTCAAGACCAGTGAAGTTCTCAGTGTGTTTTGCTTGAGCAGGGAAATGAGGCTGGACCCAAGCACTGCAGAGCAACTGCTTTCATTGCAGATTTGTTATTTTATGGGCACTGCATGGACACAGCACATCTCAGAATGGTTTGGGCTGGAAGGGACTTTAAGGCTCATCTCATTCCACTTCCTGCCATGGGCAGGGACACCTTCCACTAGCCCAGGTTGCTCCAAGCCCTGTCCAACCTGGCCTTGGACATTTCCAGGGATGGGGCAGCCACAGCTTCTCTGGGCAACCTGTGCCATCATCTCCCAGCTGTGCCTGCCTGGTAACCAGCAAACAGAGTGAATCAGACCTCATTAAACTTTAGCAAAACACAGGCGTAAAATTCATCATCTGAGATTCAGGAGGAGTCCATTTCCATGCCAGCCTTCCTGCCATGATGTTACTGTCCTATGCAGTGATTAAACTAATTTTTTAAGCAGTGGTTAGTTTAAAAGCCTGAGGAGAGAATGACTGTTAAAATAATTAGATTTCCAGCTCCAGTTTCCAGGTTAGGATATTATGGACACGTTTGTTCCTATCACATTTGCTTTGTGGTTCAGTATGAATTTTCAATAGATGACTTTGTGATAAGAAAGCAGTAATTCAGATGCAATTATATAAACAGTAAGATCAGCCTGGAATTAGCCTGGAGAGTATAAAGCACACACAGAGCTTGTGCTGGGTCACTGCCTCTCCCAGCTCAAGGCAGAGTCAGGTTCCTGTAATAGGGAAGAATTCCACTGACAAGAGGTTGGTCTTTCCAGACTTTCACTGTGGCAGCTACAGGGTAAACCAGGCTCTGAAATGAATGGCTTTTCTATGGGAAACTGGCAGCTGGAAGAGACTAGAGGGTGATGGCCAGATGTTGGTAGACACTGTCATTTAAATTTTGTCATTTAGAGGCTCTAGAGTAGTTCCTGGAATTGTCTTGGAGCTAATCAAGGCTTTGTTCTCGGGATCCCCCAGCAGGTCTGAGAAATGAGGTCAGCACAGGAGACAGACAGAGAGGGATTGGTGGAGTTGAACTCTTTGCTGATGTTCTTTATTGTAATTTACTTGAACCTGTTTTTTAATTCTTGGCGGTGTTCCCGTTTCATCACTCCTCTAAGCCAACTGGAAATTGAAAAATCCAGTTTTATGCCTGATATGCACAGTTGTGTCTTTTTCTCTCTTGAACATTTTAAATTATGCTCTTCTTAGGAAATTGTTTCTAAACGAGTGAGATTATTTTAATATTTTGGGTTAATTCTAGAGCTCATATTCTCTAGCATGTCACATTTTCAAATCCTTCAGCTCCTGTTATTTTTTTCTTTGTCAGCATTTTGTCACTCATTAGTGAGAAGTTCCACGTATTATACTTTAGTGGGGGAAAATTGCATTTGTTCTGTTTTTAATGGCCTGTTTACTACCCTTGTTTTCTGTTTAGCAGTCGGTACTACTTCAGTTAAAGGTCTGAGGTTGGAAAGAAATTGTAACTAAAAAAATTAATATTACTCCTAGTCTGTGACTGTCCTGACTGTTCCAGTTGAATGCCAAGGAAAGGGCTGGAAGTACATCCCATTTTACTCGGAGTTTGCTTTGTTTGTTTGTTTGTTCTTCCCCACCTAGCATGAGGCCTTTCTTTGTGGTATCTCTCCTCTTTGGCCTGACTTTCGGACAAACAGCCTCACTCTGTGCTCCTTCTGAGTACACAATCCACGTGGAAAAACGGGAATGTGCCTATTGCCTGGCCATCAACACCACCATCTGCGCCGGATTCTGCATGACTCGGGTACGAGGCCTTGCTCTGCCTTAGGCAGGTATTTCTGTAACACCACTGCAACCCAAGTGCCTGTTCTCGCAGAAAACAGAGTGTAAATGATCTAATTCTGAAAACTTCGCCACCATCACGTTCCCAAGTTAGGTTTTTGCAAAGGTAAGGATGAGAAATGCGAAGCCTCCGGAACTACGGAGTTGGTAACACCAGTGGCACAGCAGAGACCTGGCTGCTGCTGCCACTGCAGAGCCTCTGGAGGCACTTTGTGGGGGCAGGATGGAAGAAGTGAGGAGCAGATTATATTTGATCACTCTTAATTAATGTAAATAACTTAGGCTGCTTCTCTTCCCACTGCTGCTATCCCAGCTGGCTGTGGGAACAGCTCTCCAGTAGCCACACCGCACATTGTGCTTGAGCTTCACTGCTCAACACAGCACCTAAAGTTCCCTTCCAGCAGGGAGCCAGCACAGATCCCAAAGCACTGGGAGCACTCTGAGCCCAGTGGATTAATTAAACCACAAGAACAAGGTGAATACCTCTGTGTGTGGGGAGATCCCCAGCCACAAGCAGCTTCAAAACTGCAGCTCTGAACAGAGTAATGCCAGAGCCGGGCTAAGCACGAGAGGTTTGGTCTCTGCACTCCCCAGGAAGTTTCTGACACGCAAATGCTTCAGCGAAACAACACATTTCTCTTTTCTTTGTAGGACAGCAATGGCAAGAAGCTGCTGCTCAAGAGTGCTCTGTCCCAGAACGTGTGCACGTACAAAGAGATGTCGTACCAGACAGCGCTGATCCCGGGCTGCCCTCACCACACCGTCCCCTACTACTCCTACCCCGTGGCTTTGAGCTGCAAGTGTGGCAAGTGCAACACTGACTACAGTGACTGTGTCAGGGAGAGGGTCAGGACCAACTACTGCACTAAGCCACAGAAGCTCTGTACCATGTAAAGCTTCCAGAGGAGCGTGGGTGAGATGTGCTGCTCTGCTCATGACTAAACAGAAATAAAAGCCTGTTTCGTATTAGGTTTGCAAAGTGGTGTGTGCAAAGATTCATTCTGAAAGGGTATCATTGCCTGTATTAATTCACTGCATATTCTGTAACTGGCTGCAGGTTTGTGTTTATAACCCACCCAAATTTACTCTGGGGAAGAAGAAGAAATGACTTTGTGGATGTATAAACCTCTGCTTATAAATCCCAGGTATTTTATGAAGAGATGCTCAGAGATTTGATATATTGACATATTTCGGAGTTTGATGCTGATATATTTTGGAGTTCATATCTTTCACTTGATATGTTTTGGAGTTAAAAAAAGGCAACACAATACTCGTGGTATTGAATGTTTTAATCAGATTTTGACATATACTTGCAGCCTTCAAATTAGCATTCAAATTAGCAATGGTATTTTTCTATCTCTGTAATATTATTTTTTTTTGTGGACTGTAGCTTCAGTGTTGTCAGTTGGGACTAAGCACATACAGTTTGTTTATCCACATTGTAGATCTGTATCCTCCCTGCTGTTTTCCAGCCGTGGTTATTGGGAATGCTCTCCATGTCTCTGCACTAGTGGCATAACCCTCCCTTTCCTGCTGAAAGACACTGTTTGAAAAACCTGGCTACACACTGAAAGAAAACGGGTTTAGGATACTGGGAAGAAATCCTTCCCTGTGAGCGTGGTGAGGCCCTGGCACAGGTTGCCCAGAGAAGCTGTGGCTGCCCCATCCCTGGAAGCGTCCCAGGCCAGGCTGGACGGGGCTTGGAGCACCCTGGTTTAGCGGGAGGGGTGTCCCTGCCCGCGGCAGGGGGTGGCACTGGACGATCCCAAAGGTCGCTTCCCACCCAGACCATCCCAAGGCTCGGTGACACGGCCCCGCCCCCAGCGCGCGCAGCCAATGGGGAGCGAGCACTGCCCGCGGTGGGCGGGGCCCTCGCGGCACGCGGGACCCTGAGGGGAGTCCCGGCGGTGCCGCCGGTTCGAATCCCGCCGGGCCCTGTCCCGGTCCCGATCCCCATCCCCATCCTTACCCCTACCCCGATCCCGATCCCCGGCCCGGCGTCCCGCCCGCCCCGGGTGCCGCAGGTGAGGCGGGGGGCGCCGTGGGGGCTCTGACCGCGCGCACCGAGTTCTCTCCGGGAGCCGCTTGTTCCAGGTTATTTTTATTAGGAAGTCGTTTCAAGTTCAAGACACAAAGCCGATAAAACGCCACTTCGGAACACATCGTAGGGAAGCGAGAGCTAATTTCAGCCACAGAGCGAGTCTGTTTTCTCTCCCAAAGCAAGAAGCCGTAGAGGTAATTCTGCCGCGGACTTCGCAGCACGAACCGAAAAAACGCCAGTTCTGTCCAAAACCCACAATTTGTGCTGTAAAAACACACACGTTTATCCTGGAAGTGGTTTGCGTTTTGGAAAACCTCGTGGCTGGAGCACCAGTAGAGAGGAAGAAGATTGAAAAGCTTTATTTATGTACATTTTCACCGAACAACAGCTGTTAATCCGCAGCCTGAAGGCTTTAAGATAACTCAAGTTTTTTTTTCAAGACACACGAAATGTATTTTGTTATAAAACTATCAGTATCGAGACAAGTGAAAGGTGACTCCTCACTGTGGGGATGTCACAGGGCTGAGCTTCATCAGCTCCTGTTTGGTCTCTCTGCAAGGTACCAAAACTTTCCTGGGACAAATGAAGCTCCCACTGAAGTCAGTTACTTAGAAAAATTAGACAAGGGAAATGTGAATAAGGGTGTTTAGAGACATAATAAGGGCATCAACAGTTTACATCTTTATGCTTTAGAACAAACTGTTTGGACTGAGGAGAAGAAGAAAACCTGTGTGATGTGCTTTCAGAATTATCACCTGGAGGGATCTGATCTTTTGTCTTTCCTCTGAAAGGGATGCAAGGGACAGGACTAAATGGGTGTTTCTGCTGCTTTACATGGCATTTACTGGAGCAGGGAAAGAACAGTAAATGTGTTTGATGTCTCTTGATGAGTTAAAAAGACCTTCAGTTACTAAAATGCAGAGAAAACTGCTATTAGATTAAGCACCTCACAACAGCAGGAAATGACAAAAGACCTTTATCCCTGGATTCTGTTAAAGGCACTATTATATGAACAACATGTTGATTTCCAGCTTAATTTATACCAATAACTTAGAGAACTAAACCAGTAACAGGTAATATTCTGTTCCTGGTATACAGTGCAAGTATCCCCTAGACCTAAATAACAGTAACCCTAAAGCTTGAGCAGGAATGCCCAGCAAAATAAATGCACTCTTCAGAGGAATCAAAAAACAAACCACAAACCCAAAACACTTCAGCAGAAAGTTCGGTGGTTCAAGTCTGAATTTATAGAAGGTTTTTTTTTTGTACCACTTTTCCCTGTTTTCCTAAGGCACTGAGATGGTTTTGTACTTCTGGGGGAGTGGGGGGCTGGGGAAGCAACAGCAGGTTCTGCAAGCTGCCTGTGTATTCAGTGCATCTCAAAGCAGGAGTGGGCATCTTCCAACTTACTCAAGAAATAACAGATAAAGAGAGAAACTCTGGTGCTATCATTACATTCTGGTGCTGCAAATTTGAGGAATTAAACCCAATTATCTATGTAGATGCGTTTAAAATAAATAAAATACTGTCATTACGAGGGGGAGTGTAACAGGAGGAAATCTCTTTATTTGCCATCATTTTCTATCCCTGTAGGGCAATAATCTTGGAACCTGAACCACTGGCTATGGTGCTGTTGGCATGGTGCTGTTTTTCCTGCTTTTCCTGGAAAGCTGGCTTGCTCTGAGTGGCAAAAATGCCACTCTACACAGGTTTCTTCTTTCTGTCAGTATTACCTTGAGAAAACACACCCCAGCTGGGCACTATCCCATTAACTGAAGTCTCAGGTGTACCTGGGAGCCAGGAAATCACTTTGTTGGCTGCTGTGGAAAAACTGACTTCTAAGTTTCAGCTTGAGACCCTCGTGGATTTGCTGCCACTGTCATTGTCCCAGCTGGGCCTTTCTTAGGAGCAGGGGGTCCTGTTTCCTGGGCTGATACTTCCAGAGTAAGATCCCAGGCCCAGTTTTTAACTGGCCCCCCTTTGCTAACCAGCTGTGCCAGAGTGACCCAAGCCTGACTTGGCAGTGCCAGCACTTAGTGCAGTGCCACAGCTTGTGCCAGGGCAATTTGAAAAGAGAAATCTATGCAAAAGACAGCAAAGATGTGTCAATTCAACCAGATACTTGGAGCAGCAACACTTATTTCCATTCCTGAAGTGACAGAAAAGTGATGGGAGTTTGAGTTTCTTTTGGAACACGAGATAAATATCATAAAGGGGGTATAATCCACACAAACGTGCACTGGAATGCACATGTTTCCTGAAATCCCATTTCATTTCAGTGTGATTCAGTGAAATAAAGACCCCCATGACTTGTAAATGCTCTTGCTCATCAGAATGGTCCATGATGTCTAGTTTAACTGAACTTCTCCCCATTGTGTGTGGAACAACTGCATCAGAAATCTGAACTAGTGATCACCAGAGAGACAGAGCTGCTATGGGGATGTTGGTAGCAAAAAGCTGTTCTCTGAAGTGGTGAATTATCTCGAGTAAGCCAAAAATTTAGAGATTCTGAGCCTTGGCTGTAATTTATTTTCCCCTTCTCGAGACAACCTTTCTCCCGCCCAGTCTGGTTCAAAAGGAACATTCTCTTATGAATAAATATGACAAATAGAAAAATAAAAATATAGAAACAAACTATGTAAACGCAAGCCCTGAGGTATTTCAAGCACACAGTGTAATTTTTATACCTGACATGCAATCTAAAGGTGCCAGTAAGAAACCTTACTTTGTGGCTCTGTAAAAATGTCCCATCTTTCTTTCCTGCTTTGCACCCACAAGAAAGGGTGAGAGGTTGAGGTAAGAGCCCTGTGGAAGCTGTGATAGTCACAGAAGCAGAAATTGAGGATTTTTAAAGTGCTGTGTGTTTTTTTCTGACCGTTTTCGCTCTTTGTTTGGCTTCCACAGGCCAGTTAGATTCTAGAGAGATCTGACAAAGGGGCTGCTTTTCTGGATCTAGGCTCCACTCCTGCACCAGTTTGTAGCCACAGTGAGGCTTTTGGGACAAAGGGGCTGCTGAATATGGATTCTATTGGCCCCTTTAACTCACAGTTGGGTTTTTTGGTGTATCTCAGGCTCCTTGGGAAGCTTAAGCACACTTTGCACTGCAATTCCTCCCAAATGACTGCCTTGTCTTGTCAGCTTCCCACCTCTTTCCCCCTCTTCCCTTAGCCTGGATCTCCTTGGACATGTTTCCTCCCCCAGAGCTTTCTGCATTTGCATGAAGGGTCCAGTCCTAAAAGAAAATAAATATCCAGTCTCTGCATGACAGTGAAGTCAGTGGGTCTACTCACATGAATTAAAGTTTGCTGGAGCAGGCCCTTAGGCATTAGTTATTTTTAAATAAAGTCCGATTTTATTAATTCTACTCTGTTTGGGCTTTGGAAAGAACAGTTACAAAATGGATCGTGGGTCTTGCTTTTTACAGTGGCATTTGTTCCTCTGCTAATTCTTGTCAAACAGGGGCTCAGTGTGAGAGGGTTCCAAGCACTGTGTCCCTGTGGGATGTGCAGATTCCTGCACAGGGAGACTCTGGATGCACACACAACATATTCCATTTGCACATACTTACCTAGACAAGGTACTGCACATCCAGGGACCTGCTCACGGGCATATACATTTGTAAGGGCAGATATGCATGTGCTTACACAAGTGTAAACTCTTAATTGCACATATACAAACATTAAAAATCAAATTAGTCTTAGATGAACCTTTTGCATTTTTCATTAAAAAGGACATTTTAACCCCCTTTTTTTTTTGTTCACTTCAGTTTTACTGCAACTAATACAATTCACCTGATCACCTAATGGGATATTTTCCTCTCAGTATGTTAAAACACTGATTAAAATGCATTACAATTATTAAATTGGGTAGAAGAGCACTTCTTGTAAGCTTAGTCTGGAACTCCTGGGACCCAGTTGTGCCGTGACAGTTTTAGATCATGTCCCGTGTGTTACGGATGGCACAGCACAGAACCATGCTGAATATCATGCCAAAGATCTAGAAGAGAAGGGATGTGATTTAGGGATCAGTGATAAAATAATCTGCATATCAGAACAATCTGAAGGTCCACATGGCAGAGCAGTGGCTGCTCCCTGTCTGCAAACCCCAAAACATCAGGCAGCCAGCACGCAAGAGATTTCACTGATCCTCAAAGCCAAGATTTTATCTGCTCCTGCTGGTTTTGCTGTTCTTTGTTCTAAATGTCAAGGCCACCAAAACTGCCTCAAACATTATTGACATAAATTTAACAGACTAAATAACTGTGGCTATTGGTATTCTCCCTAGTATTGCAGCAGAAGGCTCTGAGCTGCAGAATGCTTCTACATGGAATGTTATCCAGGTTTGAGTGATTCCAGAGGGACCAGGTTCCTGGAGCTGGTGCTGAGCACTGCAGTGTCACAGGGAAAGCTGAGCTATTAACACTCTGTGAGCTCAAGAGCAAGACTATACATTAAATATAAAACTCTGCTAGTTAACTAGAGGGAATGATAACAGTGAGTGTTGCCAGAGTGTCCAGAAATGTCTTTTTTTGCCACAGGTTGATCCTCCAGAGCAGTTTGCAGCTGCCTCCTGAGGCTTCATTGCTGAGGATGGGAGATGGGCAGTTAAACCACTGGGTTCATGTTCCCTCCTCACACAGGTCCTTAAGGAAGGAGCCAGCTGAGCTGTCACACCCCAGGAAGTGTCAGAAACAAGCACAGGAAAATGTACAGACGTGGTTTTGCTGCCACAGGGGTTGTTATCCCTCCATAATTTGTGTGTATCTGAGGTGGGAGCCATGCAGGAGATGATCCTTGTTCTGAGCAGTGAGGTTGTTGAACTCTGCCCCACCCACGTTGCTCTGCTGTATTTCTGGGTACACCTTCATGTTTCATATAAATCCCAGGATTGTTTAACCCTGCTGTGCTTTCTGCACCTACAGAAACCCTTCAGCTGCTTTTAAGTGTCCACATAAGCCCATGAACCTCCTGCTCTTCAGAGCACCTAAAGGGCTGTTCCTTTACTAACATTCAGGCTGCTTGTGCTGCTGGTGTCTGAGCCTGAAGGAAATAAAGGCACAGAAAAACTGGAAAACTCCTTCTGCTAAAGCCTGGTGAGCTGCAGCCTGACCATCCTGCTGTATCCCTGGATCAGGGTGACATCTGTTGGTCACAGCTCTGTCCTAGAAAACCTGATTGTAAACTGTCCTTCACATTGGACCAAAGCTACAGCCAGCATGTTCCTGGAAAACCACTTCTACAAAGGGTAGGTACTCTCTATTCCTTGTGAAAACTAAGGAATGGATCCTAAAGGATTTAAAGCATCAGTCTGCAGTTGTTTTGGGACAGATGAAATGCTGTTATGGCCTTTTGCTTTTCAGTTTGGTTCATGAGCATTCCACATTCCTACTGTTTCAACAAAACAAGATTACCATTGCTTTGGACCTTGTCTAAGGACACAAAATGGTAAAACACAGTCACACAGGTCTGCTTGCACTGATGTGGGCAATTCCCAGAGAGAGGACACACTGGAAGTGATAAGAAAAGCTGCACCTTTTTGGAATCTCACCAGCTGCTGCAAAACACCTTCCACAAAGCTTTAAGTAAGGGACAGGGTACTGGGCTCAAGCAGAGGTTTGCAAACATGGATTTACTCACTGTGATGCCAGCAATTGCAATTCCAACAATTCCAACTAAATGCAGATTAGTATCAATTACATTCTGAATTTCAACCAGGCAGTTCTGTTAAAAACAAAATGGAAAGACTTCTTTACTCCCAGAAAAAATGGGTTCCAACCAACTCCATCAACTGTTCTCAAAGAATAACAGATAAATACGAAAAATATTGCAGTTACCATCCTAATTCCTGCATCTGAGCCTTGTGTTTTGTCAGACAATTTTCACAGCATATTCCCTTTTCTAGTGAGACATCTGTACCTCTGTACAGGCTGACACAAGTACTTTTCTTACGCTGGGTTCTCCCTAAATTTAAACTCATTTATATAACAGGCCATGCTAAATCAGGAGGTTTCTACTGGTGCAAAACCTTCATTTTGACATTGTGCTCACAAACAGATTCCTTAAAAACAGAAATAACAGAAATATCCTTCTTAGGCCCAAGAGAGTTTCCAGTCAGGAGGCTCCGGGCATGACTAAGGCAAACACTTGCCAAAATTCAGCCCCCATGGGGCCCTTCATTTGGGATCCTGTCCTGTTATCTCCTGCTCCCTTTTCCCTTCAGATGATGTAATATTGTCTCAGCTACTGTGGGATGCCACAAACAGCCTTCAGAACTGAGGACAATACGACCTCCAACTTATTTCTGCCTCCAGGCTGCTCCCTGTCAAAGGGAATTCCACGCTGGGAATCGCAAGGTGAAAAAAGGGAAGTTCTTCCTTTCTTTTAATTACAGAATGTCTCCAATTTTACTAAACAATTGGCATGAAAAAGTGATTAGAACTACCAGGACAGAGGACACTTACCTTTGGCAGCTGGATATTCTCTGGACAGGGTAATCCCACTTGTTGTTCCACGTTACCTTTCCCACAGCATTGGAGCTAAAGGAGAGAGAGAGATGAAGAATCAAAGAGGGGGAAACCACAGACTGTTTCATACTGAAAGTGTTACTACTTTCAAACTGAAAGTGAGACAATAAATAACTAAAAAATAGAAGCAATGCAGATCAAATAATGATTTTATTCTCTGTATTAACCACTGCCTCTGGTAGAGTTCCAACTATGTGGGATGAAATTCTCAAAAAGGAGTTTCGGTTGTCTGAGGTCACAGCAAACAGGCAAATTTGTATTAACAACAATGTCCAGAAGGGATTTTTATTACAGTATCTCATAACAAAGCAAACAAGTGGATTTGGGAGAAGCTGATCCCTGGCTTACAAGGGAACAGGAGCTGTTGAAGGGAGAAAGCAGAAAGGTCAAGTATCACATACAGAATTATGGGCAATGCACAAAAGCTGCAGCAGAGAATGCTGGAATTTTATTTCTGACACAACATCGTGCTGGGTTTGGAGACAGTAATAAATCAGTGTTTCGGAGGGTTTGTTTTTCCTGTTTGCCTATCTCCCAGAAAATGCTTGGAATTCCTCTTTGGGTCAGAAATAACGGCTATGGGAGAAGGACAAAAGGGTCTGAGGTTGTGAAATGTTTGTTCTAAAGAACGTGGGAATTGCTGTGAGGAGCAACAAAGCTCGGGCTTGATCTCTGTGGGAGGCAGTGTAGATACAGGACAGACACAAGTAGGATTGAGGCAGTCACAGGTTCTAACTCTGATTCAGACACTCACTTTTTGGGTGGCCTGAACTGTGTCACACATGGACTTTTGGTTCTTTTCCTACTTGGTTCAGCCAGTGACAGGATCTGCCACATTGTAGGTCCTGGGACACAGGTCACTATTTTCTCTATGACAAATGCAGAGGATTCAGACATTTCTCCTCTCTGCGTTTGTGAGTATTTTTTCTTGGATTTCAATACCCAAAAGGGCCATAACAGTCATATCTTCTGCACAGCCAAGACCAGAAGCATCAGGAATTTCAAAGCCTGGCCAGTTGCACTTTTAAACGTAGAGATCCAAAAACCAGAACTCTGACAGAGACCTCAGGAAACTCTCAGGGTTGTGAGCCTCTGGCTCCATTTCAAGTACACTCAGTTCTATTCTTCCATACCTCAGTGAGAGGAATTCTGGATTCTAGTGGGTGGTGTGACAGTGGAGCAGTAGGGAGGTGACAGAGTTGGGTACTCACAGCCACGTGGTAGCGATAGATGGTACTGTTGACCTTCCCCACTGGGTTTTTCATATAATCATCATAAGCATCTTCATAGATCTTCTGGGCTTCCTGTATTGCCTGCAGAAATCAGACTTTCCAAGTGAGTGCCAAATCAGTCCTATCCCCAATGCAGTGCAAACTTCCAGCTTCTGTCATCAACCTCCAGCTGATTCTATGATTCTATGATTCTATGATTCTATGATTCTATGATTCTATGAAATTGTGCCTGATAAACAGGTACAGGACTGGAAGGACAGGAGGTTTTGTGGCCTGGTGGCATTCAGAGGGTCAGAATGTTCATGGGCTGTATTCTGTTTTGGTTAAACACTGTTAGGTGGGGAAGTTCAGTGCCTGAATTTGTTTGCCCTTTTCCTAAGCAATGCCCTCTTTTCATACTTGATGTTCCTTGTGGATGGAAGGTGGAATCACACCTACAGATTTTCTTTAATAGAAGGGGGCAAAAGCTGCATCCTGTTCTGGACTTGTGATAACACAAGCTCTCATTGACTCCAGAAAAGAATGTCAGAGAGTCTTCCCAGGAGAAGTCTCCTGGGAAGTTTCCCTATGCTCTAGGTCAGTCTGCACTGGAATCCATAACTGCCCCATTAGCACATTAGAGGCTCTTTGCTACTTACCACTTTCTTGCCTAGAAAGGCAAATACTCCAGCAGTGACCTCAGCTGCAAATATCACCAACAAGCAAGCAAAGAACTGTGGAGGAAGGAGAGAATCTCAGTGAATATCCCTTGTTCCTGTGGGCTGCCAGTCAGCCCCTCGTCCTTGCCCAGCCCAACACCCCACACTGAAACAAAGCTGCTGAGCTGGGGCTGTGCAAAGGTGCAGAGTCAGATCCCTTGTCATATGGGAACAAAGGAAAAATGGCAAAGATGTGGCTCAGGTGGAGCTTCAGGAAAGACAAAAGGTAATTCTAGGGAAACATTATTTTAAATCTGACCCAGGGTTAGCAGAGCTGCTGGCATTTACTGTTAGCAGGCCTTGTGTAACCCAGAGTAGAAAGCCCTACAAATGGCAGTTTGCAGTTGCTAGAAAAATGTAAAAATAATCAATATGTAAGTGCAGAGCATCCAGCTATACAAACTTCTGCCTGCTGCCCATTAACTGCCACATCACTGTCCAGTCTCTCTGTATCAGCCAGGTTTCTATCCCAGTTATTGTGATCCTTCTCTTCCCCTCCATCCCTCTGCCCCAGTTGGTCAGGGATTCCTGCTGAGAAATAAATTCTGCTAAATAGCAATAAAACAATTGCAATTAATATGGCCTTGCCATATTAATTATAATATCTGTGGTGCTGGTGGGAATCCTTTATGTGTGACAGCTCTGCAGCTACAGGGTGGTCAGAGAAGCTGGATTAGCCAGGAAGAGGACATAGGACCTCAAAGGTCTTGGACATTAAAAATATATTTCCACTAATGACACATTGAATGCTTTGAATGATTTTCCTGCCCATCCCAGGCCCTTGAAACCCTTTACTCACTGCTCCAAGCAAGCACTGAGACTCCCGCGCTGCTCCACAGCACCCGAAAAATCCAACTGCAGACATGATGGCCCCTGCTCCCACCAACACATAGAGCCCTGTGGAAAATCAGAGGCAGGCAGGAATTTAAGGTTTCTCATGTTGAGGTGGAATTTCTTGTTTTAATTTATGGCTGTTGCTCCTTGTCCTGCCAGTGGGCACCACTGAAAAGAGTCTGGCACCATCCTCTGACACCCCTTGGAGATATTTGTATTGATTGAGGATATGATTAATGATTAGTCATATCAATAACCCCCAAAACTGTCCCATTCTCAATTGACTGGGGCTGGAAGTGTGCTGTACTGCTCTGCAGCAGTGGAGCTAAAAGGAACATGGGAGATGTCAGTGTAGCCCCACACACAGTTAACATTTGGGGCTCTGGCTACGTTCAGAACTTGACAGGACTAAACTGTGAAGGTGAGGGGAATGGCATTCATCTCTGCCACCTGTAAAACTGCTAGAGATACTCACATTCAACAGATGGCTTGGGGTTTTTTGTATGGGCTTTATCTAGGACAAAAGGAAACCAGAGCACAGAGTTTCCCTTGTGTCTTCCCCGAGAGGGGACAGGGAGCTGCTGGCTGTGTGCACTAGAGGGCACAGCAAGCCTTTGCTCCCAGCCTGGACTGTGGAAACTTTAATGAGAGCCTTTACTGTGCTCATTTACCAATTTAAACATTATTTTAAATCTGACCCAGGGTTAGCAGAGCTGCTGGCATTTACTGTTAGCAGGCCTTGTGTAACCCAGAGTAGAAAGCCCTACAAATGGCAGTTTGCAGTTGCTAGAAAAATGTAAAAATAATCAATATATAAGTGCAGAGCATCCAGCTATACAAACTTCTGCCTGCTGCCCATTAACTGCCACATCACTGTCCAGTCTCTCTGTATCAGCCAGGTTTCTATCCCAGTTATTGTGATCCTTCTCTTCCCCTCCATCCCTCTGCCCCAGTTGGTCAGGGATTCCTGCTGAGAAATAAATTCTGCTAAATAGCAATAAAACAATTGCAATTAATATGGGCTTGCCATATTAATTATAATATCTGTGGTGCTGGTGGGATGCTACTGCTGACTGTGCTGGCAGTTCACACTCTGTATTTTCTAGATTTTTAATATTCAGCAACTTGTCTCTTACTAGGATTGAGCCTTCTTCAAGCTGACACTTGCACACATCTTCACAGCACCGGTTTTTACTGATGCACAAAGATATATATGGCTCAGGAGAGAAAGGTCAGCCCTCGTGGAAGATGAATTGGAAAAGACAAAAAAAAAACCAACAACCCCTGTCTCAGGTGCAGAACCTGCTGCTCGACTGGCAAACACCAACACTGCCATTTCCTCACATCTCCACGGTGACAAACGCCGGGTAATTACCAAGATGTTTCCTGGGCTGTTTTCTGCCTGTCACTCCCTGCCCCAGTCCCTGTCATTACTTATCAGGCCACTTAGCAGAGCTATTTTAGAGTAAGGAGTGAGGAGAGGAGCCTTCCCATTTCTTTTTGTCGTTTCCAGCGAGGAAAGACTGAGCTCTGTGAGCCTGGGAGGGGGTGAGACCACTCTTAGGAGTTTGGATTTGCATTTGTCAGAGAAACAGCCTGAACATTTCACTGGCATGAGTCACAACTGAACCGCTACCTCAATCAGAACTTCCCTTTTAAGGCGTGTTACAGGAAGAACTCACACCACTCACTAAACAAAGCTGAGCCCCACAGCTGAGCCAGCCAAGACTTTAAAACCACCTTCTTCCATCTCCTGCTCAGGAGAGTTCATCCCACTCTGTCCTTTCTCAGCACCAGTTGCTGATACTCAAGAGAGCTATTTCTAGCTGGAAAATAGTGATGGCACTTAAAATTTCCACAAAAATAAAGATATTTTTTTTGCTTGTCTGCTATATATACACACACACGTCATCTTTCACACAGCAATGGGACTTGTGATTTTGGGGTTGTCCTGCAGCCAGGAGTTGGACTCGATGATCCTTGTGGGTCCCTCCCAGCTCAGAATATTCTGTGATTCTGTGAGACACACGAAGAGCAGCTCGAAAAAAATTTCAAAGGGAATTCAAGTTATTTCTCAGTTTGCCTTGTGAGGTTTCCCAGCACCCCCATCCAGGTATGTTCAGTGGAAGATGACTTCCAGGAAGGATGTCAAAGCAGTAGATTCAGGAACATCCTAGATGCTGTAAGTATGTGAGGCAGGGATGCAGTATTTCTTTTTCTAGGGGGCTGTGCACAGCAATGTAGGCATGATCACTTCAAATTCTGAATAAAAGGAGACCTAAACTCTAAAGTGAGACTCTCTAGAGAGAAAAGAAAAAGCAAAGGGTGACCATTTCTGGCACACACACCTTAGAACCACAGCCTGACCTAAAGCCACCAAGCACTGAGAGCCACCCTTAGCCCACAAATCCAGAAATTTGGTGGGTTTAATGTTAAACATTGTTATCCAATAGTATCATGTGTCAGAAGTAACTAAGCTTCACTAGAACCCATCCCTTTCCAAAAAGCAGGATGGAAAGCAGAGCCTTAATCAGCTTCTATTCATAAGCACTTCCATTGTAAAACACAAAGCCTTGGCGTGGCCTCCAGCTTGGCATCTCCAGCACGGCAGGGAAACAAAATAAGGCACAAAGTGGAACATGTCTGAGAGCTAGAAATGCACAAAAAACAGCTCAGCACAGAGCACAGCGTGGCAGAAAGAGGTGTGTGGGTCAGGTCAAGGTAGAGAGCTTGTTTTGGTGGGTGGAAAATGATGAGGAGACTGTCCAGCTGCAGCCTTTTGTGCAGCAGAAGGCAAAAAAAATACAAGGTAGAAAGGAAGCAAATGCGTTTGTGGCCTGTGTGAAAATTTCCCTCTCACTTCTTCTTGCCTCTGTTCATTTCCTGTAATTTGGGCACTTTGATCTGTGTCTGCTAATGAAGAGGAGAGAGGGTTTGATGTGGAACTGGTCTCTGAGGTTGTTGGCAGCACACAGCCCAAAGAGGAGCAGAGAACAGAAGAACTGGAATCCTGAGAGCAGGGACACTCGGCTGAGGAGGGCAAAGCTGGACCCAATGGCAGGGACCTGCCCCCAACTCAGCAATATCTATTCCACCTCCCTGCAGGAGCCACAAACAAGTCCCTCTCAACCCCTGAATGCAAAGGGATGAAGAAGCACATTCCAAAGAGTCAAATCCACTCACAAATCCAACAGAAAATTGGTTGATCTGAGCAGACACAGCCAGGGCACCACCGACTCTGAGAGGTTCTGGAGGAAATAGGGGCTTCTTTGTAACCACAAGAGGATGAAGAACAAAGTGTCACAGGGCTGGGGGTTTTTGGACAGAGCCTATTCTCTTGGCCTTTTTTTTTTTTTGGTGAGGAAATATTGAGGGTTTGGGGTGGTGGTTTGTTTGTTTTGCTGTGCTAAGACACCCCCCCACACACAGATTTTTAGAGCTGTGAAGAGAAATGAAGACTTCCACTTTTAGCAGTGAGTCAAGTGAGAGAGCACCTGATAACAAACTGATTTCCCTTCTGGCTATAAAATAGTGAGTGTAAGGAGGGGGGGGGAAGCCCCTTCTTCAGCCATTGTTCTTTGCAAAGCCATTGTGTCATTTTGCAAAGGACACATTTGGAAAGCAATAAAGCAGCAGCTTTTCTGTATAGTTGATCTTTTGATTCATCCCATGGGGCAAATCATTATTTCCTGGAAGGAAATTGTCAAATGGGGGTATTCCCTGTGAAAATTCCAACAGGAGGGATTCCCATTCTCTAGCAGACTCTGCTTTGCAGTTACAAGGGGAATTCAAAAGTTATCTGGCAATCTCAGAACATCCTGTGGCTCCCTGTAGTGAAGAATGGCAAACCCACAGCTCAGCAGATATCTCTGGATTGGCATTTGTGCTCATGGCACAGAGTTCTTCCCTAAGATTCTGTCTCTTCTGGATATGGGCAATATCCCTTCTAGGGCTGTACTTGGAGACAGTGGATCTCCAGGTGTGAAGAAGCACATCAAGAAGAAAGGAGGATATTCTGTGTGTTATTTCTGGATGAACAAAACCTCTGTGATTAGCACTGATGCAAAATCCCCTCATTTTAGACCAGGTGGAAGAGAGGGATGGAGTTTTATAGCTGCTGACTGCAATGTGTCCTTCTGTGTGCCAGGAGTGAGGGAAGGATCAGCCAAGGCTGGTAGAGATCTAATTTCAGAGTCTGGAACAGAACCCACACCCAGAGCTGCTTTTTGTTTGTTTGTTTGTTTGTTTTTCCCCAAATCCTACTGAAGGTTTTGAGACACAAATCCCTGCCTGGAGCCTCCTGCAAAGAGCAGGAGCAGACAGACACACAGTGTCTCTGTCTGGCTTTATTTCACATGGGTTTCTTGTTTACCTGGCTGCTATGGTCACTTTCCATTTTAAATAATTCTCCTTTTTTTTTTTTTTTTTTTTTTTCTTTTTGGCTGAGTAAATAACAGTGAACAAACCACCAACTGTTCATAATCCACTGAGAAAACAAGCAGCTCTGTTCTTGGGGTGAGGGACCCAGAGGCAGCGATGGCAGGAGCCCGAGAGCCCAGACAGCACTTGAAGGGATTTTCCTGAGGTTGTGTGTTCCTTCCAGCCCAGGAGGTAGATGTGCTCCTCCACAGAAGCACTGAGGCTCTCGAGCCCTCGGGAGAGCACCAAGGAACCTGTAGTACAGACACACTGTTGGAAAATATGAGAAACACACGTAGGAGTTGGAAATAACTGGCCAGACAGGGACACTTGTGTGTGTGGCACTTGGCAGAAAAGGCTGTTTCTGAAACAGGCTTGTTACTAGACATTTCCATTGTATATTTATCTATAAAATACATTTACAAAACTGGAGGAAAGCTGCAGAGGCCTCTGAAGGAAGATGGATTTCTGGAGAATTGGAACATAACCCTTAATTTGAGCATAATGGACGTATAGGAATAAATGTCTTGTGCGAATTCCACGAGGATTTTGTGGTTAATCCTCCTGGAACCACAAAAGCATTACGGACACCAGCCAGTTTGCAGGCTTCTGCTGATGCACAAATCCTGAATTTCAGTTTAAAA